TTGGTTGGGCTCTAAGACAATAGTTAAGAAAGGCTCCAAAAAAAAAAAGTGCTTATTCCCTTTATCCTGATGAATTTTTAATTACATCCTTAGTGTTCTAATGCTTGCCTTTGCTAATGATGTCAAAAAAGGATTAATCAGTCATGACCTGGTGAAAGCCTTCAACTTTCTTTAGATACTGATGGATGGTTACACCTTAAAGCTCTTCCTCATGTTGTTCTTGTTTTTTTCCAAGGGTGTTTTTCTTCCTGTGCCTTGTTTTTAGGACCCCTTCAAAATAACTAATGATTGCTAGTCCATTAATTTAGTCTTTTCTCCACTGTCTAGCATTATTATGTCCCATCCTACTAAGGTACAAAAATTAACCAACACAGTTTCTCCTGGGCTTGTTTCCCAGGCTTTCAGTTGAAGTCCTTTCACGAATAACTAAATATAAACTACAGAAGGTTAAATATCTTGTTATACAACATCTTTTTAGTGGAAACACAACAGATGCTATTTGCTAAGAAAATGTCAGGCAGGCTGGATTATGTCATCTTCTTGCATGTGCTTAGGAGCACCGGCACAGTGAAGTGTTGAGTTCCCTTTCACACGTGTGTTGGTGCCCACTGAAACGAACGCAACAGCCTGATCACCATACAGGTGGATTAAAGGAAGAGTGCTGGAGTCATGCCTAGCTGTCTCACCTCCCTCCTGGACACCTTAGCAAGCATGACTGAACTATATGTGAAACAGCACTTGAATTGGTGTTACGCACAGTTGATCATTTTAAAGTAAACTAGAACTGATTATTAGTATTTCTTCATTTTGTGTAAACTGTGGATATGCATGAGTTGTCGTCTGCAGTTCAGTTGTCCCTGCTGCTGCCTGGCATTTTCTTCTATTTATGAACTAACATTTCTAGAGATGCTTGAATCAAGCTCTAAAATTAGGTAGATGTTATTGATCAGACTAAGTTCATCCCAGTTTTCAGGAGCAGCCTGTAACAGGCTGTATGGAAACAGCAGTTTAGTCTTGTGTCTGTCAGATTGCTTCCTTCCCATCAGATTTAGGTGGGATTACTTGTCTCTCTTGTGTTTGTATATCCTATTTCATATACTAGAACGTGTGCCAGCTTTTTCATGCAGTGAAGCAATATAGTCATGGATTAAGTTTGTTTTCCATCTACTATTTCTTAAAGATTAGTCATGAAAGCAGGTTTCTTATAACTGTTTTGAAGTGAGATGGAGTGAGTGTGGATGAAATACAGACATTGCAGAGGTTATTTGAGATTCCTGGATATCTAAGAAATGAAGTTCCTCTCCTTCAGGGAGGAGGTTTTATTAAGGAACAGCGAAGAGAAATGAGGTGAGAAGGAAGGTCCAGAGAAAACTTAAAGGGCAATTGTTTCACATGTTGGCATTGTTTTGATGGGATGGTGTGTTGAGTCCTTTTCAGTATTTGATCACTTCAAGCCTGAAAATTAAGTATTTAGAGATTAATACTGAAGTTACCTATCTGCAAAATCTGTGGGGTCTGCTAGATAATCTAAGAAGTCCACGTTTAGCATGGCAAGCTGTTATGCATTGGAAGTGCTGAGCAGAGAAGTGTCCGAATCTCTTGCCTCCTTCTGACTTAAGGTGCTTGCTTTCTGTCTGCTGAACAGTCAAAGCACAAATTCTTCGAAGGGCGCTGATGCCCAAGCAAGAAGCACTCGCAGCTAAAATCAAGGCCATGTAAGATGAAAATACTTCCATACACTAAAGGAAACTAAGTAAAACCAAAAAGGCCTAGATCTTCCTCAGCCTTGCTGGGATTGAAATGTGCATCTTTCCCAGGAAAGGGCAAATCTCATTCCTTCTTTCTCTGCAACAGCCCAAAGTTGGAGTGGCTGGAGCATTTTCCTCGTGTTGAATCTATGCTGTTATGCAGCCAAGAAAGAAAGCATTTTGGGAGCAGAGTGTAGCAGAGTGATTAAGGATCTGAGGTGAGAAGGGGGATAAGAACAGAATAGACTATGTCCCCTGTGGGGACAGGCTGAGAGAGTTGGGCTTGTTCAGCCTGGAGAAGAGAAGGCTCCGGGGAGACCTTATTGCAGGCTTCCAGTACCTGAAGGGGGCTACAAGGAAGCTGGGGGGGACTTTTTACAAGGGCCTGTAGTGACAGGACAAGGGGTAACGGGTTTAAATTGAAAGTGGGGAGGTTTAGAGTAGGTATCAGGAAGAAATTCTTCCTGGAGGGGGTGGTGAGGCACTGGAACAGGTTGCCCAGAGAAGCTGTGGATGCCCCATCCCTGGAAGTGTTCAAGGCCAGGCTGGATGAGGCTTGGAGCAACCTGGTCTAGTGGAAGGTGTCCCTGCCCATGGCAGGGGGGTTGGAACTGGATGATCTTTAAGGTCGCTTCCAACCCAAACCATTCTGTGATTCTGTGACTACTTTCACTTGGATGGGACCTACAACAATATCAAGCCCAACTGCCTGACCACTTCAGGGCTGACCAAAAATTAAAGCATGTTACTAAGGGCATTACCCAAATGCCTCTTAAACACTGACAGGCTTGGGGCATCAACTAGCTCTCTAGGAAGCCTGTTCCAGTGTTTGACCGCCCTGTCTGTAAAGAAAGGTTTCCTACATCCAGGCAAGATTTGGATTTTGGTTTCTTTTTCCACAGATTTTTCTGTTTGTATTATTTTTTTCTGTGTTTAATGACTGTCCAGTTTAAAATGCTAAAGCAAGTCTAGAAAAAAAAACCTCGTATGTCCTACTTTTATGTAATCGTTTAAACTATATGAACAATTTTGTAAAAGCATCAGTTCTACATACAGACATGGCTGTTCCAGATGTGTTTTTGAATGGATCTGATCCTGGTGATTGTTTACTGTGTATCCCTCACCCCGTGGTTTCCCATTTAGCTTAAATCCAATCATCATTTAGCCTGCTGTTACAAAAAAGGGAAGACCCTGCTCTCATTCCTGGCTGCTCATTCCTGCCTGCTCCAACATTTGTGATTTTTCTCTTTAATCCAGCCTAAACTAATCTTTTATTTATTTAATTTTGAGCTCAGTTAAATGAATTAACTGATCCAACTCTGTGGTCAAGCTACTACTAGAGCTGATATAAAAGAAGTGTCAGGGAGATGTTTCAGAGGTTGGTGTGTGGGTTTTTTTGACAGCAACCATCACTTTAAGTCATAGGCATGTTCATAAAATGCCTAATTGATTGTGTTCCTCTGGATAAAGCGTAAATGTGTTGTCATCTTTTTTCTGGATCACAACAGAGCTCACATGAACATGCTCTTGTCCCAGGTTGGTGTACTTCAAGGCTTGCACAAATGAGTAAGTTTAGGCTCCCTGGAAGCCGTAGGTCAAACGGGGAGTCACCGGGTGAGTTGGAGGAATCCCAGTGGTTTTCCAGTGTGGGCTTGGTTTAGCGTTGTCTTGCAATAAAGTGTTTAAACATTGGCTAAGGTGTCAAAATACGAAGTTTAGTACTAAAATCTTGTGATTTGAGCAAGAAGAAACCTTATTCCCTCACAGGTCAGGAAATTCTCATGTATAATTTTTGAAGGATAAAAGCTTTGATTGTTATGGCATGTACAGCTGCAGGGTAATAAAAGAACAGAGCAAATACATAGAAATTATTGATACTCTTAATGAAACAGGAGAATGTGTCCTTCAGTTGTGTGTGACTAATTATTGAAATGAATGTGTTATAAGTATATGAAATACACAGAGTTGCATATAATGTACTGCTCACATGTTAGGCATCATCAGTAAGCCTTCTTATCCAGTATTTACATTTATCCTAAAAAGTATTCTGCAGCCATCAGGCAGCTTACATAATCCTCTTGGTTTCAAAGACATAAAGCCAATCTTCCCCCATCTGTCTCTTGTAGCACTGCTGCTCTTTATGGCTGGCTTATAGCTCCCTCCAGAGTTCTGTTCTGTGCTAAAGTGTAGAAAAAATGAGATTCAGTGTAAAAGAATCAGATTTTGCTCACAGTGTTTTTTCTGTGTGATTCAGTGTTTCACTAACTGGCTGGGCTACACAATTCTTTTGAATTTGCGTGTTTTTGTCCAATAGCATAATAATTTACTTGTAGAATTTGAAGACATTGGGGGAAATGTTTTTGTCCAATTTGTAGAATTTGAAGACATTGGGGGATTTACCTAATAGGTTTCTACGTTTTTTTTCTGTACCTTTTAATGTGAATTCCCTGCTTTTCAGAAAGATGAAACGAAGGACTGTAAAAGAAAAAAAAGCCACAATACAGTCAAGCAGTGTATTATAAAGAATAATATAATGGTTTCAGTGCACATATATATTTTTGTTCACTGAACATGGACAGCAGCAATGAGATACTCAATGTATCCACATATTCTAAGTGGACTCAAAGCTAAAGTAAAGGAAATGCCTTGCCTTTCTATAGCCTGATCTTTGGATGCAGCAAAGTAAGACTAAGCACACACTTTGCCATGCAGATAAAGAATTATTATTTGGCCTAGATATTTAACTAAGATACAAAGAGAATTTCTACCTCTTGTCTTACTCAAAATTTGCTAACTGTTTTTAAGTGGTGCTGATCAAAATTTCTTCTAGTTTGTCAACTCTTGACTAGACTTCCTTTTATTTATATTTGGATAATTACAGATACGTCAGATACGGAGGTATTTTATAGGTCGTGTTAGAGACTTGAGATATTCCTGAACTGGTCATTAACCTGAAAATTTGTCTATGTCTTCTGCATTAGCACCCTGAAATTTGCTGAAATATTAGGGAGAAAAGTGTTCATTTCAAAATGAGAGCTTTCAAAGAATTTCTCTGATTTTCTGAACAAGGTCCCAAGGCCCCACTGAAACTTTGTTGCTGTTAATGAAAACTGCTGCTAGGTTGTATGTGGTTGTGTTTTTTTGCTTTTAACCTATGAATATATGGTTTCCATCTGTGAAAAAGTCTGACAGATTAGCATCTAGTCCAGTACTTGCTGCTCTAATTCTCCAACCCTTTGGGTTTCGTAACAGGGCCGTTGTTTGTCACAATGACCAAAACGCATGTGATAGCAGCTTCAAAAGAAGCATTTTACATCTGGCAGTATCGTGTGGCCAAGAAGCTCACGGCAATGGAAATTAATCAGGTAGCACGGACCAGAAGAGAAGGCAGGGAAAGGTTTGTCTTCAGGCTCTGTCATTTTGCTTCTTTTCCATTGGTATGGCTGATGAAAGTGGACTCTTCCATGCCTAAAATATGAACTCCTGTCGTCTTATTTTTCTACTCAGATTTGTTGTTTTGCAGGCCTGTAAGATTAAATACTAAGGAATAGTTTTTCATAACAAATGTGTGTTTGTTACCCAAATCTCTTAGACTTCTTTGAATTAGTTCCTGTTCAGTGTCTCCATTTGCTCGCTGCGTGTTTTCGTTAGAGCTGTGTGTCTTGACGCTTTCCCTGGCCCCCCACCCCCCTGGCCTTTTCCCCCTTCATACCGGGCAGCTGTATTCCCTTTGGTAACTTTAACTGCTTCTAGTGTGTCCGTGGCTGTAAGGACACAGTCTGTCCAGCTAGTTCTTCTCTAAATACACTTGTGTCTGATTTTATCTTTGTCTAATCCTGTAGGGACTTTATCCTCTCAAACTAAACAAGCCGAAGTCAACATCTTGCCTCCAAAATATTTCCTCCCCAGGTGCTCACTAGTGACATTAACTTTTCTGTCACCTCCACAAGCTTGCAACTTCGTTATGATTTTGTTTTGGTTAATTTCATGTTTTCTCTTTCCATAGAGACACTACAGCATCTTTCTGCAAATCTACCATCTCCTGTCACCATATGTCCATAAGATTGAGTAGTTATTTGTACATGGTGTCATAGCATACATTCTTCTGGTACCTGAATGCCCTAGCCTTGAATATGGTTGTCAATTTTATAGAAATAATAAAAACTGAGATTGTTGTAATTCTGCATGAACTATGATTTTAACGTTCTAAAATGTTTCCTAATGCTACTTTTTAAGGCAAAAGAGAAGTTAGGATGCAGTATTGAATACAGGAATACATAAGTTTTGTGGATGTGAAGCTTTTCATAAACATGGAGAAGAGCCTTAGGAAATAGGGAAGTGCACATTTGAAAAGAGACAACTGGGGCAGTTAATGGTTTGCAGGAACATCTTGCTGCAGAACAGAAGTTTCTAGATCATATGGGAATAGGCCATCAGGGGCTGTGAAAGTGAAAGCAAGTACCGTATCTTTATATCAATATGAAACATCTTTATCAAAGAGGATACTCCTGGAACATGAGAACAGGCATAGCTTTTATTCTCTCTCCCAGCTGCAATGGTTTTTTCTCCAAGGATTGAAGATAGCTGTATGCTACCAAAAATGATCCGTTCATTGGACTCATTTTTTCTTGTAACTTCCCTTTTCTACAGGATTTATCATGTTGATGACACCCCTTCAGGATCTGGAGATGGACACCTTGATTACAGCAGAGCTATTGAAGTGAGTGATGCTTTTAACTAGTTTCTTGGCGTTTCACTGGTAGCTTGGAAGAGAAGTAGTTAGCTTTACTTTATTTTCATAGATTTTCATTAGTAGAAGTGGTTACACTTAAACTTTCTTTAACTTCTACTTGTTGTACAGAAGTGTTACTTTTCTACCCTCTGGTTAGTGCAATGCTACTGTGTCATCATGTGTTACTGGAAATAGACACCAAACTGTAGGGAACACAGAAAAAGTATACTCTGGAGTCCAGTATGGAGACACCTGCATCTCATCTTGGTGGGAAGCAACTCTCCTTACTTCAACAAAATATAAGCCTGTTGAAACTCAGTAACTCTTGTAATTTTTTCTAGTATTTTTAGCATTTTTCACTTTATTTGTGTGTGCATGTGCTTGGTTTTGTGCTTACCAATATACCTGAAATTAATAACAGGACCCACAAGTCAGGAGTAGTTGCTGCCTGGTTTTCTGTTAAACACCTGATAGATTTTGGGTTTCTTATCCTTCTGGAGAAGAAAGGAAGCTGTTAATATTATTGTCATGATCTGCATAACACAGGGTACTAATATCATAAAGCACCTAATTACTGACAGTGTTTGATAGCCCCTTCTTTTGCAGATAGTTAGCAGCATTCTTGTATACTTCAATAAGACTTCCTTTAGCAGTGCATTCTTACTCTTGCATTAACACCAATGCTGATAGTGCTTGTATGCTTTCAGGGAACAAGAGATCCAATTTGTGCAATAACAGCATCTGATAAGATACTACTTGTGGTAAGTTACATGATAAGAATAATTCCCAATTGCCTCTTGTGTGTGTAGGCAGGAGATTTTTCTGCAATTTGTTCATAACACGCTGGAGGGAAGGGATGCCATCCAGAGGGACCTTGAC